CACAGCAGCAGGCTTTGCTGCCTTCCCTGCCTCCCTCACACACAGTGAGCAGTAATTCACACCCAGAACTTCAGGGCTACCTGTCCTTCCCAGGGAGAAACACCACCGTGAGCAAGAGGGAGGTGTGCAAGCTGGGTGTCCTTTCTCCAGAACCCCACTTTAGAGCAGGGGGCTAAGTGTTGCTAAGATAAGAATAGAGACCGTCCAAGAGTTTCCTAAGCAACATCCATTCTGAAGCCTTGTGCCTGGGGCTCATTCCCTGTGCATCGGATCGCAAAGCTGTCGAATCGGTGTCCGAGGCTGAAAACAAACGTTTTATCGTTTGGGTTTCTATGTAATTGTTCTCTCCAGGAGGAGGGGGGTCTGGGGGGCGTTCGTGTGAGGGACGGGTGACTGAGCTTTATATGCCCTTTCAACTTGTTGTCTCTGAACACAGCAGAAACTTGGAGAAAAAAATAACCCAAAATGGATTTTTCATTAGAATGATTACAAAGTTGCTAACTGGTTTTGCTAATACTTACTGAGCACAAACTGTGTGTCAGGAGCTGGGCACACTGTGGCCGTGTGAAACCTCATTTCATCCATGAGTCAGGGTTATGGGGTGTTTTTACCACCGTTTTACAGAAGCCTCGAGGGGTGAAGTAGGCTGTCCGAGTCACACAGCAGGCAGCTCACAGTGTCTGGCTCCTGAGCCACGGCTTAGTCACGACACCACTTCTGAGTAAGGGCTGTGTGTGCACACACTTGCCATTTGCCACTGTGATTTCGCCAGCGTTCCTAGTTCCAGGTCAGCTCTCTGGTGTCACCCAGAGGGAGGCAGGCCAGCTCTCTCCTGCTGTGGGCCAAGGTCAGTCTGAACCACTGTTAGGGAGCGCGGAGGGCGGAGACTGTGTGTGTGTGTTAGACAGAGAGACCAAAAACAGAGATCTATTTGGATCTATGGTCTGGAATTTTTAGAAGTCCTCACTGGGTGTGAGGATTATGGCCCAGGTCCCGTGAGCTGAACTGAACCAGCCACACATCAAGTGGCCGCTGGCTGCCCCTTGAGGGACAGATTCTAACTGCTGCTCAACCCCAGCACCGAGAAGGAACAGCTCCATTCATCTTCCTCAGGGTCAGTGTTCCACACCCGGGAGGATCTGGAAGTAGATTCTCGATAAAATTAAACTCAGTAAGTCTCCCGGGTGTAACCGCGCCCTTCAGCCGGTGCTTAGACCTGGGGCGCGGGGCTCAGTGACAGAAGGTTCTCAGGGCCAAACGAGCCACCCCAGGGGCACCCAGCACAGAGACGCTGTGGGTCTCACGGGGAGGCTCCTTCTCGTTCTCTAGGCTCCCTTGGTTCAGAGCCGCCTTCTTGGGCTGAACCCACAAACTTCTGTGTCAGGGTAACCCCTGAGGGAGGACCAGGCTTCTCCCAAAGGACTGTTAGGAGGTGAACACAGCTCTTGTATCCCATGGGTCCTGCTCTTTAGACTCTCCCTGGTGTCCTGTCATCTCAGGATGCTGGTTTCTGACCAGAATGGAGAACACCTTCCAGATCTGTCCCCTTCCCCGGGGGCTGAGGCCCTTGTTCTCTCAGGAAGCACAGCTCTGCTGCCTGTGGTCCCTGGACTGAAAGAAAGTCCACTTGGGGCCGTGCAAGACTGAAGAAAGTAACAGATGCCAGGAACATGGAGAGAGAAGGCCCAGGGGACACCGAACGGTTGCCCAGCTGACAGAGCCCTGCGCCCTGGGAGACAGAAACAGCTTCGATAGAAGCCAGAGTGTGTGGAAAGGCGGGTGTGCGATGAACAGAGTTTGCGCTGACCTGTGTCCCAGGTGCTGCCCACACCGTCTCATTGGACGTCTCATGGGTTGTGTCATAAACCCATTTCAGAGAGAAGTAGCTCAAGGCTCACAGACATGGGGCGTCTCTGCCAGAGGCAGAGGCTGAAACCCAGCAGCCTGGCAGGCTGCAGCCGTGCAGTAGGGGGAGGGGAAGAGAAAATTGCATTAGCTGCCAACAGTGAAAAAGGTGAAGGGATTAAGCAAAAATAAAGAAGGCGGAGGCTGAAACCCAGCACCTGGCAGGCTGCAGCTGAGCAGTAGGGGGAGGGGAAAGAGGAAATTGCATTAGCTGCCAACAGCGAAAAAGGTGAAGGGATTAAGCAAAAATAAAACAACGCAAGGCTACAGACAACAGTATGGCGATTAGCAGAGGGGGAAGGAGTGGGGGCAGGTAGAAGGTGGTGATGGAAGGAGACCTGACTTGGGGTGGTGAGCACAATACAATACACAGATGAGGATTACAGACTCGTACACCTGAAACATACATCATTTTATTAGCC